TTTTAGTTCTTCCCGCGATTCCTGACTCCTAAAGGATTCTTTTAGCTTAAGTTCGATGCTTGCTATTTCTCTGACCAGTGTCTCCCTGCGCATTTCTGATATATTGACCTCTTTTAGCCGCTCTGTTATTCTTTTCCGTCGCCTGTAAAGGGAGCGCCTGTCTCTTTCTATTTTACATCTACTCCTCCTTTTTCTACTAATATCGGTGACCATTCTATAAATGGAAGGATTGTGTAGATCGTGAGAGCGTACATAGTAACGAAGGCAATGGGCATCACGGCGATCAGACAAGGATGGAACATTTGCTTCTGTATAGAGGCCCCAACAGGGGAAGAGCGAAAAGCACCAAGGCACAAACGTAAGCCTTGGTGATGGATAGAGTTAAGGCTAGAGAGAGTAGCAGGAGAGGCCGCGGAATAAATCTGGTCACCATAATCGAGTTTCGATAAAACGAGGGCTGAATGTAGGCGAAGCAGAGTTCGACGATCAGCTCCCCAGGAAAGATGAGAAAGGGGTTTTTTAAGAAGGTTTAGCCGGCTGTGACAAGTTGCCTTCAGAGAGGTAATGTGAGGTTTCCAGGTTAACCGACGGTCAAAGAGAAGGCCTAGAAACCTGACCGATATTAGTAGACATTCTTTATTCGTTCGCCGCCCCTGTTTGCTCCGTCCCTTTTCTCTTCGCCTACTTTCACTCTTGTCTTCCCTTCAGTTACCACCTTTATAGTTCATGTAGCATCTCACTTTTCCCTACCCCCCTGGGAAGTTCCAGCTGTTCGGGTCTGTTCTTTCTCACTCCCTTGCTCGAAAGCTCAAAATGCCTACGGGGGCTTCCCGCTCTCTTTTTTCTTGATCACATCCAAATCTCATTCTCATGCCACCGCTGTGTAAAACAGATGGCTCTAAGTCTTCAGACGGCGTCGGATTCGCAGCAGTGTTTCCGGACAGCGTCGTACGAGGGCATTTACTATCTTTACTAGCATTTTTAAATGCTGAACTGTAGCCATTCTTGCAGCACTTATTCGTATCGCATCTATGCCTGTGTCATCATTTGTAGTAGTCTCAGACTCCCTTAGTGCTCTACAGGGTATACGAAAATTTGATACACTCATCCCCCAGTTCTCCGTATCCAACTTTGGCTACGCCGTATCTCTACCAAACATAAAAAATATGTTTTTTTGTTGGTCCCTGGTCATGTCGACGTACAGGGCAATGAACAGGCAGGGCACTGCTGCGCGGTCAGCAGTATATGACCTACCAATTTCCTATCGAGGTGTTCCATTTCTGGACTATTTTGCTGCAATAGCTACCCACCTTCGCACCCTTGGCAACAACGTTGGTCAACTCTGCTCGGTAACAAACTTCATTCTATTAAACCGAGCATAGGTTACTGGCCGTCTTCTTGTCATCAGTGCCGAGGTTGGGAGACCACTCTCTCCCGCCTTCGCATTGGCCACACTCGTCTTACTCATGGGTATCTCATGGAGAGGCACCCTGTTCCTCTCTGTGAGCAGTGTCAAGTTCCAGTATCGATTAGCCCAATTCTGTTAGACTGCCCTCTCTATCAACGAGCACGCAGAATTTACCTCCAACGTCGTCTTCGTTCTCCTACTCTCTCTTTACCTTCCTTCTGCTGATGGACCCTCCTTTAATCCTGACTCTCTCATTGACTTCTTGACAACGACTGATTTACTCCACAAACTCTGATGATACTTTTTGCACTCCCCTCAGCCTTTCTGGTTCAGTCTCTTGCTGCCCTTTACCTTTCACCATCCACTGCCCCGCTGTTATCCGTAACCTTGTTGCTCATCCATCTCCCTTTTGCCACCTGATGCCCTCGCTTCCTTCCTGCCCTGCAGCGCTGTATAGTCCTTGTGGCTTAGCGCTTCTTTTTGATTATAATAATAATAATAATCCTCCTTTTTCTTAGAGGAATAAGCCTTGTGCATACATCGAGTGCCACCGAGTTAATCTGTTCTAGGCATAAGTTTGGGTCTGTGTTGCTTAGTATATCTTCCCAGCTTATATCGGTTAGGACTTGGTTTACTTGGTCCCACTTTATGTTTTTGTTATTGAAGTTGAATTTGGTGAATGCTCCCTCGTGACTAGTCTCATTTTGTCGGTCTGAGGCTCCACGCATACATGTCTGAACCTCAATTATGTTGTGATCTGAGTATATTGTTTTTGATATGGTGACATTTCTTATCAGATCATCATTGTTAGTGAAGATGAGGTCTAGTGTATTCTCCAGTCTAGTAGGCTCTATTATTTGCTGGTTTAAATTGAATTTTGTGCAGAGATTTAAAAGCTCGTGTGAGTGTGAGTTTTCATCAGAGCTGCCTCCTGGTGTTATTACTGCAACAATATTATTTGCTATATTCCTCCATTTTAGGTGCCTTAAGTTGAAATCCCCCAGGAGCAAGATGTTGGGTGCAGGAGCTGGAAGATTTTCCAGACAGTGGTCAATTTTTAACAGCTGTTCCTGGAATTGCTGGGATGTTGCATCCGGAGGCTTGTAGACTACCACAATGACTAGGTTTTGGTTCTCGACCTTTACTGCTAAAACTTCCACTACGTCATTTGAGGCATTAAGCAGTTCTGTGCAAACAAGTGACTCTGCAATGTACATGACCTAATTTGTCCTATATAAACCATGTCCTCCACTACTGTGGATGACCTAACTTGTCCTATATAAACCATGTCCTCCACTACTGTGGATGACCTAACTTGTCCTATATAAACCATGTCCTCCACTACTGTGGATGACCTAACTTGTCCTATATAAACCATGTCCTCCACTACTGTGGATGACCTAACTTGTTCTATATAAACCATGTCCTCCACTACTGTGGATGACCTAACTTGTCCTATAAAAAACCATGTCCTCCACTACTGTGGATGACCTAACTTGTCCTATATAAACCATGTCCTCCACTACTGTGGATGACCTAACTTGTTCTATATAAACCATGTCCTCCACTACTGTGATGACCTAACTTGTCCTATATAAACCATGTCCTCCACTACTGTGGATGACCTAACTTGTCCTATATAAACCATGTCCTCCACTACTGTGGATGACCTAACTTGTTCTATATAAACCATGTCCTCCACTACTGTGGATGACCTAACTTGTTTCCTATATAAACCATGTCCTCCACTACTGTGGATGACCTAACTTGTTCTATATAAACCATGTCCTCCACTACTGTGGATGACCTAACTGTCCTATATAAACCATGTCTCCACTACTGTGGATGACCTAACTTGTCCTATATAAACCATGTCCTCCACTACTGTGGATGACCTAACTTGTCCTATATAAACCATGTCCTCCACTACTGTGGATGACCTAACTTGTCCTATATAAACCATGTCCTCCACTACTGTGGATGACCTAACTTGTCCTATATAAACCATGTCCTCCACTACTGTGGATGACCTAACTTGTCCTATATAAACCATGTCCTCCACTACTGTGGATGACCTAACTTGTCCTATATAAACCGTGTCCTCCACTACTTATTCTACATCACTTTCTAACACTTTCATACCATCAGCAGCAGAGACACGAAACATTTGGCTCTACCTTACATGGACAAGTTCAACCACCTTGACCTGAAGCTCAAAGTTTAGTATCCGAGGCTATGAACATCATATACCTTTGATAAGTTTCGAGTCTTCCTACTCCCGGAGCCCGTCCATGGACCAGGCTCGTCTAGTGCTAGCCTGGTCAATCAGGCTGTTGTTGCTGGAGGCCCGCTGCCCCATCATGAGTACAGATTCCGATACAACTAATAGTCCAGAACGCACAAGTGAAACAGGTCACTACAGTGTGGGTCTGGTGACTACAAACACCCAACGCTTTCAACCCACCAAATAAAATACCATAAATTGACGGACAGACAAGAAGATTCAATGCTATGAGAGTTATAACCACTCCATCCCACCCAAGGTCTCAAGGTGCTCAGAACTTCTACCGTGATGATAGGAAACTAATGTAAACTATCACACTGCTCATTTTTTCGACTCCGAGTGTCTCGGTGAAGGGACATGCTACAGCTTCCCCGAGGAAGGTGTAAAATATTAGACGTATCAAACCATACCACGGGCGGGGTTAGAACCCTCGATCAGAGAGTCTCAAAACTCCAGACCGTCACGTTAGACGTATGCTTGAGGAAGTTACAGAATATTACAACTAACTTTTCATCTTATTGATGATACTTGTTTACTTATCCTAAGGAGCAATGTTATTGCTGTTGCATTCCTGTAGAATAGTTAAACCTGTAGGGGTTCATACAACGCCTGGGGAATAGGATGCAATTAGGTTTGATCTGAGTGAAAGTAGGATAGCTCCAATTTCCTGCATCAAGAGCCCTTCACTAGCATCAAGGTACCTCACCCTGTTCCCCTTGATGGAAAATAACCTTAAACTCTATAGTCGGTTCTCATTTATATCTTTTTGTGATTGCATCAAGCAGAGCTCAGTTTTAATATCCTTGAATTTACAAGTTAAAAGTTATACTTACACCAGCTGTTGACAGGCTAAGAACTCTTTATCCCATCTCAGCTCATTCATAGTCTAAGAGCTGTTATCCTACCTCAGCTCATTAACAGGCTAAGAGCTCTTAGTTCAGTCATTTACCTCGGCTCATTTAAAAAAAAAGCCTTATCTAAAATTTACTACCTCCTCTCCCTTCCCTCCCAGGATGCTTCCCGCGAAAGTCAACACTCAGGTGTCCGTTTACTGTAACGTGAACAGGGGCTAAAGTGTAAGAGCGCTGAAGAGCACTATGTATAGGGGTTTGTATTGACCAATTGTGAATTTTGGTTATACTTTCTTTTTTCTGCCGTAGGGAACTGGAGTATGGGTCGTGAGGTACATACTCATTGATTTTCATTGCTAATCCCATGTGGGTGATTCAGTGTAAAGAGTAGTGGAGGCTCGATCCTCCGTCGCTAATAGATAGGAAAGAGGATTATCCACATTACTATAAAACTGACCTTTTTTAACCCTGGGTCTGGAAGGGTTGGGCGAGGGTGAGCCGGTACCATCGCTCTTGTCCTCTCTGGTCTCATGGGCGTTGCTCTTCTTTTTCTTGCTACCCTTGGAACCTATAGAACCGGTGGGAGACTGCAGCACCAAGGACTTATGCAGGGAGGTTCTGATAGCCAATCCTCCTGCCAGGTTTGTAGCTAGGCTAGTAGTCCCGCCCGATGTACTTGCACCCACCTGAGTGGGGGTGGATGGCGTTGCTCGGAACTCGTGTGCATGGTGTTCGAACCCGGGTTTTCTGATATACCCGGGTTCAGATGATGTGCTCGACGCCCCCGGGGAACTGACGCTTTCGTAGCCGAAGTCCTGCCCGTCGAATTCCGACACGGAGACTCTCCTGCCGGCGTACAAGTCCTCGGTCTCCTCTGCGTTTCCTTCCCTGGGGGCGGTGTGGGCGTCCGGGGCTTCCTCTTAGCACTCATCTTAACTGGATGCTAGAGGGCCACTCCCGCGCCCATCACAACGCAAGATACGCGCAACACGTTGCTTACTGGAAGGCGGCCCTCAGACGGACTAAGAGATGGAGACCTAACGCACGATCTCAGAGGCCAGGCGTCCTCGCTGCTGCTGCTGCTGCCCACACTGTACATGTGATTCATGTTGATGTAGCAGCTCGCATGGTGAAGCAGATCCTGCTGGTAAAACACCACCACGCCTGAAAGGCGGTACGTCAGTCGAGTCTTTTGAAACTTTCTTAATACGTCGGCTGTGCGTCCCTTAAGATTATCTTAACACAGCTGCACGTTCTTAAGATTCTCTAGACAGCGCGTCAGCCGCGCATCCAAAATCAACTGCGCGTCATATAGAACCTTTGGACTACGTCAGCTCCAAGTCCCTTAAGATTATCTTAACAGTACGTCAGCTAAAAGTCCCTTAAAATTCTGTTGACAGCACGTTAGCTGCGTGACCCTTAAGGTTTATTTAACAGTACGTCAGCTGCGCGTTCTCTTAAAATTCTCTTTGTGCTGGTGATGGGACGACGTAAGGCGTGTCGCGTCCCACTGTGTTATAAACGGGTACTGCGGACGCCCCTGACTCGTCTCTCACGCGTTCATTCTTAACTTTTCCCTGAATGAACCAAGGTACGAGTTACCACACCTATCTGTAAACAAATGGTCTTTGTCACACAGATACGCAGTTTCCCCCTTGCATCATTCCACAACCGAGCACCACACCATGAAACTGTGACCACACTTCGTGCTTTTCTGTCACTTGGTGCCCACTCGTAGCTCCACGTCAGAGGGGAAATACTCGTCACCCACCTTGAAACACGACAAACAACAACTGACTTGATGTTTTACGTTGAAGGGTTTGTGTACTGGTTGCTAGGGTGGTTGCCATGCATGGCGTCACCAGCGGCCCGCTGGTTGGCTCCCACCGCAGGTGTTTATTATCCTCGCTACGAAAATCGGCGACTCGCAAACCCGCTTTGTAACTACTAATTGATTGATAACTAATGAAGTATTTTAAAGGACTTTAAAAACCTCCTTTTATCGTATCTGAAGGTATACACTTTGTTTCTGTGACTGATTTTCGTAAGTAAAAGTTACTTGCGTGACGAGGATCGGTATACACATATAGCGCAAAGCACACCACTGAGCATAAAGAAAGAACAATGAGTTAGAATCCGATTGGTTATCACTTAGGTCGACTTAGCTGCTTCATAACCACATCTGCTTATAATCTAAATAATCAATACTAAGAAAGGCAATCTTTACTCTTTTAATTAGCCCCTATAGAAGTTTAAGTTTAATATCTTTATTGTGCACCCCATACCCATTCTGTGGTCGGTAGTCAAAGGATTACAGAGGTACATAATGGGTCCAGGGACTGTACCTTAACATTACAGAGGTACATAATGGGTCCAGGGACTGTACCTTAACATTACAGAGGTACATAATGGGTCCAGGGACTGTACCTTAACATTACAGAGGTACATAATGGGTCCAGGGACTGTACCTTAACATTACAGAGGTACATAATGGGTCAAGTACTGTAACCTAACATTACAGAGTACATAATGGGTTCCAGGACTGTACTAACATTACAGAGTAAATGGTCAGGGACTGTACCTTACTACAAGGTACATAAGGTCCAGACTGTACTAACATTACAGGTACATAATGGGTCCAGGACTGTACCTTAACATACAGAGACATAATGGTCCAGGACTGTACCACCTAACAACAGAGTCACAAATGGTCCAGGGACTGTACCTAACATTACAGAGGTACATAATGGTCCAGGACAGTACCTAAATTACAGAGGTAATATGGTCCAGGACTGTACCAACATACAGAGGTAATAATGGGTCCAGGACGGCCCCAAAGTTTGATGCAGAACAAAGTAACAAGTAATGAACTCTACGCCTAAATGTACAATCATGAACAAATTTAAAGTATGAGCAATTCACACTTCTACACCAGGTCACAATGTAATAGTCATTAGTGCAAATATAATTGGGACAACCACACAACACACAATACATACAACCACGTCACACACACACATACACACACACACGACACACACCACACAACCACCACAACCCCAACTAAGTACACACACATACACACAACACACACACACATACATACACTCCAAAGAGACCTGGACAGGCTGGACTTCTGGTCCAGCAACTGGCTTCTCGAATTTAACCCTGCCAAATGCAAAGTCATGAAGATCGGGGAAGGGCAAAGAAGACCGCAGACGGAGTATAGGCTAGGTGGCCAAAGACTGCAAACCCCGCTCAAGGAGAATGATCTTGGGGTGAGTATAACACCGAGCACGTCTCCGAAAGCACACATCAACCAGATAACTGCTGCAGCATATGGGCGCCTGGCAAACCTGAGAATAGCGTTCCGATACCTTAGAAAGGAATCGTTTAAGACACTACACCGTGTACGTCAGGCCCATATTGGAGTATGCAGCACTTGTTTGGAACCCACACTTGTTCCAGCACGTCAAGAAATTAGAGAAAGTGCAAAGGTTTGCGACAAGGTTAGTTCCAGAGCTAAGGGGAATGTCCTGCGAAGAAAGGTTGAGGGAAATCGGCCTGACGACACTGGAGGACAGGAGGGTTAGGGGAGACATGATAACATCATACAAAATACTGCGTGGAATAGACAAGGTGGACAGAGACAGGATGTTCCAGAGAGGGGACACAGAAACAAGAGATCACAATTGGAAGTTGAAGACCCAGATGAGTCAGAGGGATGTTAGGAAGTATTTCTTCGGTTATAGAATAGTCAGGAAGTGGAATAGCCTAGCAAGTGAGGTAGTGGAGGCAGGAACCATACATAGCTTTAAGATAAGGTATGATAAAGCTCATGGAGCAGGGAGAGAGAGGACCTAGAAGCACTCAGTGAAGAGGCGGGGCCAGTAGCTGAGTCTCGACCCCTGCAAGCACAATTAGGTGAGTACACACACACACACACACACACACACACACACACACACACACACACACACACACACACACACACACACACACACACACACACACACACACACACAAAGCTCATGGAGAAGGGAGAGGACCTAGTAGCACTCAGTGAAGAGGCGGGGCCAGGAGCTGAGTCTCGACCCCTGCAACGACAATTAGGTGAATAGGCGAGAACACACACACACACACACTAGTCCCGGAGCTAAGGGGTATGTCCTACGAGGAGAGGTAAAGGGAAATTGACCTGACGACACTGGAAGACAGGAGAGATAGGGGGATATGATAACGACATATAAAATACTAAGAGGTATAGAGAAGGTGGACAGAGACAGGATGTTCCAGAGATGGGACGCAGTAACAAAGGGCTACAGTTGGAAGTTGAAGACTCAGATGAACCACAGGGATGTTAGGAAGTATTTCTTCAGTCACAGAGTTGTCAGAAAGTGGAATAGCCTGGGTAGTGATGTAGTGGAGGCAGGATCCATACATAACTTTAAGAAGAGGTATGATAAAGCTCACGGAGCGGGAAGAGTGAGTATCGGCCGTTGAAGAGGCGGGGCCAGGAGCTGTGAATCAACCCCCGCAACTACAACTAGGTGAGTACACACATACTCATGTGGGAGAGTATCAGGTGGGACTACAAAAGAATCTGGGCAGGCTGCAAGCCTGGTCAAACAACTGGCTCCTGAAGTTTAACCCTCCAAGTGCAGAGTCATGAAGATTAGGAAAGGTGAATGAAGAACGCAGAGTACAGGCTAAGGGGGCTAAAATAGACTGCACATTCAAGGAAAAGAATCTTGGGGTGGGTATAATACCGAGCACATCTCCTGAGGCACACATCAACCAAATAACTGCTGCAGCATATGGGCGCTGGGCAAACCTAAGAATAGTGTTTCGACACCTGAGTAAAGAATCATTCAAGACTGTACAGCGTGTATGTCAGGCCCATATTGGAGTATGCAGCACCAGTATGGAACCCACACCTGGTCAAGCACATCAATAAGTTAGAGAAAGTGCAAAGTTGTTCAACAAGACTAGTTCCGGAGCTAAGGGGTATGCCCTATGAGGAGAGGTTAAAGAAAATCAACCTGACGACACTGGCGGACAGGAGAGATAGGTAGGACACGATAACGACATATAAAATAGTGAGAGGAATTGACAGGGTGGATATGAACAGGACACTTCAAGGGGACAACTGAAAGCTGAAAACTCAGATGAGTCACAGGGATGTTAGGAAGTATTTCTTCAGTCGTAGAGTTACCAGGGAGTGGAACAATCTGGAAAGTGATGTAGTGGAGACATGATGCTCATGGAGCAGGGAGAGAGTGCACCTAGTAGTGACCAATGAAGAGGCAGGGCCAGGGCTTTGATTCGACCCCTGCAACCACAAATAGGTGAGTACGCACAGGGCTGGATTTGTAAGGGGACAAAGGGGGCAACTGCCCTGGGCCCCCCTGCCAGAGGGGCCACCAGACGAAAGACTTCCTTTGTAATAAAATGTAATAAAAAATTTGTTTAATAAAATGACTTAACAAATAAAGTATGTGTGGGGGCATCAGAAAATAGAAAGGGTGCCCCCACCCCCTCTCCCTTTGAATAACTTGACTTTACATAACTGTTTCTGGTTAGCGTCAGTTTAAAGGTCAATGACCAGACCATGAGGTCAGAGGTGACTAGGGTGTGCATGTGTGCATGTGTATGTGTGTGCGAGGTAGCTATTGCATGTATGGCTTTGATTGGCTATGTCGACCTCAGAAGGGCTATTTCTGGTTAGTGCCAGTGTAGAAGTCAATGATCAACAAGTCAGTTGGCCTGGGGCTATATTTGTATCTGTGTTTGTTTGTCGACCACTTTTAGTGCTAAGCAATGGTGTGGGGGTAGTGGTGTCGTGTCTTAGATCTGTGTGTTGCTCACAAAGGTTTGCGATATATCATCGTTTTGCAATTACATCTTACACACGCATACACATCCACAAACACACACACATATGTGTGTGTCATTAACTACATTGTCATTAAATGTCAGAAAATCTGAATATATGTTTTTTTCAGAAGATCCAGTATGCCACAGAAAATTCAGTTGTCAGGAGCTCAGAAAAGAAACATTTCCAAAGATTCAAGCAAAAGAAATGCTGTGGTCTTGGCAAAGACAAAA